TATCATATTTATAAAAATTATTATATTAATTAAATAAATAAAAGTAAATAAAAGTGAATAGAAGTAGGTAGAAACATGTTAGACAAATAATATCTTCTTTAAAAAGCTTTAAGAAAATTTCTTAAATATGAATTAAGTATTTATACTTTTATAGATATGCCACATGACTATTGAAACTTGTCATGTTGGAAGCACCCTACAACTTAATGCTTGGATTACTAGCTTTGTAGACACTAGGAAGCTTCAACAAAACCTTTGTAGCTAATATATACATAGAGCAAAGATTGAGACTATGCTCAATCTTGTCAATATCTTTCTTGTATTCCATTCTTGATTCAAAACTCTCTAGAATTTTTTTAATTAGCAAGAGCTATTATAATTTTTTTTTCTATTGTATATTTATTCCTTACTTCTCTACTTTCTTTCTTTCTGTGACAAAAGAGTATATGGTCTTTATAGAATTTTGTCATGATTTTTGTCTTTGAAAATACCTACTTAAATAAATAGAGAAAAATTAATAAATATTAAAATACATATGAATATATTATGTTATTATGCCTTTTTAATAGTATTTCATAAAAAATTTGTAGATGTAGAATTGATTTTTAAGTACTCTTAAATATAAAATTTGAAATAAAAAAGTCTTTCAAAGCTATTTTATTATTATAGTAGCTTAGTAAAATTATCTTATAACTTTTATGTTTATTTCACATCCCATGTAAAATATTTTAAGGACTTTTACATAGTCTTCTTATCACATAGTTTATATAAAGAAAAGACTAGTCTAATTTATTTATAAAATATACATCTCTTTGTTATTCCAAATATGCTTCAAAATTTTAATGGCGGTTTTGTATTTTAAAAAAGCCACTTTTTTATTTATTTATTTTTATAAATCAACATATTTATCATTATTTTTTATTTTTGTTCATGTATTTAGGAATTTAAAAAAAAAAATTAAACTTTATTCTTGATGATTAAAATGATTGGATGTAAGTAAATAAGTTTTAAAAAATAAAAAAAATTGTAGAGTAATAATACTCTATATACTAATTAAAAATATAATTCTATATTTAATTAATTTGAAATTATAACTTTGTATACTAATTAAAATTTCAACTCTATATACTAATTCTATATACTAATTAGTTAAATTTTATAGAGTAAAAACACAATTTTTTTAATTAGTAATTTTTTATTGTCTAAATTTTTTATATACTATGTAATAAAGATTTTATAAATTCATATTAATACTTATTACAATCTACTAATATTTACTTGTATTATTTAGCAAGTCATAATAATAATTATCATTATTATGTCTCAATATTGGTAGAAATTGTTGAAACTAGCTTGCACAATATAAAAGAGAATTTTCAATAACTATTCAAAATTTTCCAAAGTTACAATCATCTTTCAATCCAACCATCTTCAATGCCATATCTATTATAGATTTGAATTATTAATAACATTATTTTAAACAAAAATCTACCAAATCATAGTTGGTTTTTTTAATAATTTATTTTAAAAATATAAAAATATAAAATATTTTATTAGATATAAATATATTTTTCTTACATCTTATTTTAAAAAATAAAATTTTATGTTTTCTTTTTCAAAGGTCTAAAGTATCTACTTTTAATTTGATGCATTTATTATTTAGTTATTTGGAAGATTCATAATTCTTTACTTTCAATTTAAAAAAATGTGATTATATTTTATCTTATATATATATATATATATATACATTTTATTTTTTTATATTTTTTTCAAAAATTTATCCATACTAATAATATTTTGCTTAGATAAAGTTTGTATTTGTGCTTCAGTGTGTATGATTCAATATTAGGAGTGTGTGCAAATCAATCATTTATCATTAGATAAATTTTGTATTTGTGCTTCAATGTATATGAATCAAAATTAGGAGTATATACAAATCAATCATTTATCTCATATCCACAAAAGGTTATTTTCAATTTCTAATGTTAATTTCTTATTTCAATTTTATTCAACTATCAATAAAAATTTGTGCAAGTAATTTATCTTACTATTATTTTTTTGAAATATCAAATGTGAGGTTTTTATACAACAACACAATACTCCAAAACCATCACTCTTCATTTCACAACATTTATAATAAATCTCAAATTTCACACTCATCAATTCTTTGAAAAATCTAACCTCTTTCAAAAACTTGAATTCCATAAATATGAGCTTTTAATTTGAGATAGTTTAATAAAAGAGTTAGTATGGTCATTTACGATCAATATTTAACTATAAATAATTATGAAAACTCCATATTTCCATCATAACCAAGCTTCTATAAATTTGGGTATTTTCCAAAAAAATCCTAATTTTTCTTGGAATAAGCTTTAGAAGGGTATTGTACTTTATCCATACTTTATTAAGATGCCATAACATAAGGCCCCAATGGTATTCTTCTATATGGTTGGAGGAGGCACCACATGATGCTATCCATGCAAAAGAATATCAATCTGTAGTCATAACAATCATGTCAAGGTATGCATGTTGAATTCACCATGATGAAGGAGTTGCAAATCCCTTGGAAATTCTTTATGGGGATGAAGTTTGGTCTTGCACCAAATCCATGAGATGAAAAACTTTGAGTTTTATCAATGTAGTGCTTGTTTTATAAGAAGCTTGACTGGGAAGAAGTTAATGTCATAGGACATAAGCGGAAGCAAATGATGAATGTGAAGATATTTTTAATTCTTTTCTATAGAGACAACATCACAATGCATATGAAGTCATAGCATGCCAAAGTATGGATAAAGTACAATATCCTTCCAAATGCCTCAAAGGAGTAATTCTTTGATTAGATAAATTTTAAAAACATTCTTGCAAGTCATTTAGAAATCAAAAAGATACTTACATTTACAATCAATCAGGATATTAGAGACATGGTTATTAGTGACATGTTGTTCAATACAAATGATGAAGAATCCACACAAACTTATAAATGGGAATTATTAATTTTTAAGTTGTTTGAAGATGCAAACAAAAATTGAGTTGAGTTTAGTAGAGAGCAATATCTAAAGCATGAAGTGTACAAGGTAGAGATCATTTTTTTGTAGTAGTTTTATATTGTGATTGACTTCGTCTCTTGTAGAACCTCATTCTGTATATTAGCATGTCTCATGAATATTACAATGATTGTATTGCATATGAGCTCCTTCAATGTTTATAGTGACAAATGTGTGACTTTGTTTGTGAGGATGATTTGTGTTGTGAGCTTATAAAAAATCATTGAGATTTTTCAAATATAATAGGTATTTTCACTTGCTCTTGATGTCAGCTCAAAGTAAAGTAATTTTTACTTTAACTTTTGGATCCAATTTGAACATCAATTGAAGTTGCACAACCTCTATTTTCTTATCATTTTGCTTTTAGATTGTAAGACAACCAAAGTAATATTTTCTATAAGTGCAATTTTTTTTTGGATATCATTGCTTTAAAATAGAGAATACAATTAGTTGGAATTAGCATAGATGGCGAGCAAACAATTACTGGTTGGATTTTTGGCTTTATGACAAAGATGATTGAGGCAGTTGGTGATGAGATTGTGAGAGTGTGGTATGCTTTGCATTAAGTTGATCTCATGGTCCAAGTCGAGTACATCAAGATATATAACGACTAGTTTGTTAACATCTTGACATGCCTAATCTTTTATGTTCATTGGTAGTATAATTTCATTGGAAGGATGGATTATACATGCCTAAAATTCATAGACAAGCAATGGTTGTCTATGAAAAAATTGAGTGGATTTTTGCAGCAAGGGCATGTGGTAATCTGTTAGTGCCTCATGCAAAAATTGCCTAACGTGTATTCCTCCTCTTTTTTGGTAGGTGGCAATACTTGTATTTCATGATATTGCAAAGATAGTTTCTATTGTCATGAAAGACTTAGAAAGATTGAGCATCTTTCTAAACCAATAGAAAGTCCAACTCGAAGGCTTAGTCCTTGGTCGATTTGTACGAAGTATAAAGTGCATATAGTATAGAGATTTTGGCCATGACTTACGATGCCTCAAATTTGGTAATGTGCAGATTTTTATGTATTGCTCTCATGAGTATGTAGGCTTTCATTCAAGATTAAGGCACCTTCGTGATGAACCTCATGACTTGATTGCTTGTAATTGATGCCAAGGCTACGGTTTATAACATGGAGACTTTGTTTGCTAGGCTCATCAATGACATTGCATCCATTGTTGTCCAACGCAATCACAATAATGATGCTAGTGATGAAGACATTTTGAAAGTGTTGCCTCACAATTTGTATGCATTGTTGACATCTTTCTTATGCATTTCCATTTATTGGCATAAGTTTTGGTTAGAATCAATTAGATGGGATGCTCAATTCATTGAGGATATTGAAAATAACCATCGAGCCATAATACATGCCTATTGTGAAGAATTGAACTTCAAGGATGCCATTGACAAGTGCTCCAATTTACAAACAAAATTTCATGTCGGATGGGCTCATTGCAATGGCCAATTTCCACAACTTCAAGAATTTGGTGGCAAATTGGCCTCCATTTTTTTAACATAAGCATTATCAAATCCCGCTTCTCCATGATGTGGTGGGAGAAGGATGAATATTGGTAATGCATCACAAACTTCTTGCTTGAGACTATCTTACACTTTGAACAATTTGGCAGAGTCCATCAAATTTGACAAAGATGGATGTTTTCGGACAGCTGTATTGATGAATTTCATCCATTCCTAATTTACCTACAATAAAACTTGGCCGCGACCCTAAAATAAGCTAAATTAAGTATTTCAGGGAAAGCCCTAGTTTAAAGAGGCCTGATCATAACCGACGTAATTGACGCATCGCATGGATGAACGAAATATCATAAATAGAATGAAATATCATCCATTCAATAGTTGAAAAGAGCGGGAACGAGAACCAATAATACCACTCCACATAGACAACAGATCGAGGCAAGTGGCGGGAAAACAGTATAACTCTTTTCGGCGGAATAATCGTTCGAGCTTGGAAGATGGCTGATCTTGGGAATTGGACCTTCGCCGAAGTATTGTCAATGGATTCGTTCCACATTGTTTTTCAGTAGCTGCATCATCGTGGCGCTCAATTCTGTGTTGTGATCGCTTCCTCAGCAATTGGAATTGAGATGTGGGGCAGGATTTAATGGGGCGAGTTCCAAGGAATCTGTTGTCGAGTGCCGTTATGGTGTGAAGCTTCGGCGGCGAATTTGGAGTACCGGAGGAAAGTGGCGTAATTCTGAGAGGTGGGGTGGTGAATGAATGAGCTGGTTCGACCATGAATCGAGCCTCTTGGGTAGTGATTCTTGGGGGCGGCACGGCGGGTGGGTATGCGGCCTCGAAGTTTGTGAAGCACGCGCTGTGAGTCCTAGCCATTTATTTGTTTCTCCACAAGTCAGGACATGGACTCAGGAATTCCGATCCGGGCTAAGTGTTTCGACTTCGTTTTGTGGAGATCGTTTGCGAGAGAGATTTGGGTGGGTTTACTAAGCCTTGGGCGGCTTTGAATGTTCATGTTTTTTGGGTGCGTCGACAATCTCTGTTAGATTTTTCTTCTGATATGGGGGATAGAAATGTTATCTGCTCGTGAGAATGACAGGAATGTTGCTCCGGTCCTACCTGTGCTTTTCAACTCTCTCCGCGATTAACTTCATTATTTCAGCAGAATTGGCCGTGAACTTGGACTTACAATGTTCGACTGTCTAGCGATCGTTCACTGAGAACAACTGTAGAATCCGATTTAGCACATGCATGCACTCTGCTAGGGGTTCTGATACCACACATTTTGTATGGATTCTCATGTAGCTCCTGAGAGATGGGTCTCGTAATATCCGATTTTGGAGGGTTGCGTTTATGTCCTGATTTTGTGTCGTGCAGACTGAGTCAGTGATTTACGTCCAGTCTGGAACCTTGTATTTTTTTAGGACAAGTTATTCAGTTGTTGAACATTACGTTGTGGTTCCGTAGGTTTCACCTCTCGAGCTCCTGTCTTTAAGTGAGGGCTATTTGCTAGCTTGAGGTAGATATTAGATTTTTTATTTTTAATTTATTCTGCACCACATGTTCCGAAGGTTTCGCAGTGTCATCAGTAAATTTGATTATTCCCATTGTTTTTTTCGGTTTTCGGCATAATTTAAATGGATTGGGTGGCATATAGAGCAGATCTAGCGAGTTTACTTGCTCTCCACACGTGTGTGGTTGTCGGCGAGGAAGTGCATTCTGCCGAATGGTGTCCAAGAAAACTGTGATTCGGCTCCCCTATTTTCGCACAAGGTCAAATTCTTGCGACAATATAGAGTTCTTGGTGAAGCTCACGCACCAACATGTAATAGTGACAGGACTTAATGAATGATTCTTGGTACTGGTTCATTCTAGCAAACGTGACTAGTACTTCTCCTCTTGCAGTGATGAGTGAAACTATTTCGTTCTCCATCCCGATCGTTGCAACTGGCGCTTGATTGTCGTTCTCCTTTTCATAGTTTATTTCCTTGGGCGATCGAGGACTAGATTTTTGGGGTAGTACAGATTCTGAAGCTGGATGAGTTTGGGGTCACGGGAGCAGACGTTAAGAACGTATGCTACTTTCGAGATATCAGGGATGTAATGTACCTCGTGGACATGGTGGCATGGTGGCATAAGAGGGACGTGAAGGCTGTTGTAGTTAGAGTTGACTGTGTTGGGGTGTAAGTGCTGCAGCTCTTCACGGCAACCGTAGTCCTATTACCATACAACTCCCGTAAGATAACTGCGGCAAGAATTAGTCATTCCACTTGGCACTGTGCAAAACATTTTTCAAATAGTTCCCCAGTGAAATATGATGTGATTTTATCAGGAAATGTAGTGTTGCATGCCGAGCAATTCCACATAAAATGTTCGAGTCTTCGATTTCGAGTAAAGTAGAGGTTTAGTCGACTGCTCTTGGATGCATAACCAGGGTTTCTTGACATACCACTTCCAGAATGTTATCATTGAATGCTGTGGGGTTTTCACTGCCCGCATTGTTTACACTAGAGATTGCGTGATTGTATGAAGATTGCTTCATGGAGGGAATACAATTTAGAAAGAACAGTATTTTGTCCTCATTTGAGTGACAAATTGGGCAAGTCATAACTCTTTTGATGTCCACGACTTCTATCATGACTCCAAAGTGGAGTTCAATGTTTATGATATGGTAGGTGATAACTGTTGTATTGCAGAACGAAAGTCGAAGAGACTCAGACTCTACTGAAGTGGGCTTCATTGTACGACCTTACTTGGACGACTTCAAAGAGCGACTCACGCTCGAGAAATGCGCCGTCTTAGTGAATTATAAGTACCCTGTGTTGGGAACTTTTCCGTCTACGTAATGACAGACGCGGCAGCCTCTCCAGCGCCTTTCCATAGTGATGTCAAGGGACAGTTGCATGTCGTTCACGCTCACATCTCTGCAGCTCATGCTGTGCTTACTCATTCTGAAATGGAACGAATTAAGCGATCATGACCACCTTCGTTCCCCTCCCTTGCCTTAATGCTGCTGAGGCAATTTTATTGTGACAACGTGGGTGAGCCTGAGCTCATCGGAAACCTAGTCATATAGTTCTAGGCTTCTTGGGTGCACAATGGGAGGCTGTTGGGGCGTTTCTTCATGGAAGTTCCAAAGTAGAGTTAGCTGCACTAGCATAGGCTACCAGAGAACTACCCCATTCATAGGTTTCTGATTTCTTACAGAAATAGTGCCTGGACCTTGTACATTCAACAGCCTATGCCTCCGATGTCGTGTATCGGTCCCGCTACCACTGTTGAGATTTGGACCTGACCTTGCAGCAGTCCAAGCCTTTCACAGCAGTAGAATTGTCGGTAATGACGTGGACGGCAGAAACCTAATTTCTATTGCCTACGTGGGAAGTCTTGTAAAACTACCATCCGTTACGTTGAATAGAGCGACCAAGCCAAATGGTTCGAGAGTTTTTGTGTCGTCTTGTGGGTTGAATTTAAGAGTTCGTTATGGCATGTACCACGTGGCATGCCATTCAAGTCGACACCTTCCTGAAGCTCCGCTGACGGAAAAACCTCGTCCACCATTTTTCCGAATTAAGTCGAGGTCATCCATCCGCATTGCAATCAGAATCCTTCCATAATTCCGCATCATTCGTCCATCGGTGTCGGTACTATGCGGGCTAGTTTCCCAGACAGGAGTCCATGATTGCTGCCGCGATTGTCACTCCCGACAAGTACTCGTCTGGGGAGGCGGGACAAGCTTCGGGGGGAAGGAATGGTCGATGTGATCGAACTCCCAAGGCCCTGCCCGGCGGTTTCACTCTGTGCACGGCCGGCCGTTGACCGTGGGGTTCGAAGGCACATGCGATAGCGTACCTTATTTTGTGTTTGTCAAGGTGGGGTGGAGATGGCTTCCTCTGCAGATGATGGTGTTCTTGGTAGCTCCAGTAGGAGATGGTGGTCATGATGATGTTGGTGGTGCGAAAAAGGTGGAGATGGCAACGCTGCTGAGCAAGATGCGGTGAGGGTAGGGGTGATGAGGAGGACGTGCGGTTGCGAGGGTGCAAATAAGCTTGGGCCAGGGAGCTTCGACTGTAGCAGCGTACTCTGGTATCCAGAATTGCGTGCAGGAGTACGAGGACCAAGAAGGGGAGGGGGAGGGGGAGGGGGAGAGGGAGAGTCGGATCGGGGTGGAGGAATTGCAGGAGGGAGATGACTGGACGCTGTATGCGCCGGATGAGAGCGTAGCAGCGGTGTTCCAGAAGCTGGCTTTGGCGGATCGAAATCGATGTGCGAGGGTGTGTGAGCGATGGTACAGAGTGGAGGGGCGAGGGAGGCAGAGGCTGACGCTGCGCGCTCCGACGGAGCTAGGTTGCCGGGGCTGTTGGTGAGGTTTTCGCACATGATGAAGCTGGTGCTGAGGTGCAACCAGCACACTGTGAGCATCTATAACGGAGCTATGGGGTAGGTGGGACAAATGTGCCGGCAACTGAAGAGTGTGCAATTGAAAGCATGCAAGGGGCTGTCGGACAGCGGGCTAAAGGAATTTGCCTAGCTGGCCTTGGGGTCTATGCGGACGTTTTCTTGCGCGACGTGCGAAAGCGGACCGCGAGGGATCACCGCATTGCTGCAGCATTGGAGGGGTGGAGGAGCTGACAGTGAAGCGGCTGCGGGGGTTCGCGACGAGGAATCTGGGACTGGCGGAGCACGTTCTGCCGGGGCCGGGCAGCATCAAGACGCTGTGCGTGAAGGACATGCGAAACGCAGAATTACTGGAGCTGCTGAGAGCGGGGTCGAAGAGTTCGCACATTCTGATTTTGATTTGGTTGTCTGGAAGCTGGGACATTCTATTGGAGATCATCACGGAACAAATGAGAAGCTCGGTGGAATTCCAATTGGAGAAGGTGTGCGTGACATATCGAAGATTGAAAGCCGTGGGGCGTTGGAGCAATCTGCAGGTGCTGTTCTTGGTGAAGCCAACGGAGTGCACAAATCAATGGCTGTTGGCAGTGGCCAGCGGGTGCTCGCCGCTGCGGAAGCTGCACTTGGACGTGATGAAGAGCAGTCGCGTGGGACATGAGGGTCTGCTGATGGTGGCGCGGAAGTGTGAGCAGCTGCAGAAGCTGGTGATAATCGGAGTGAGCCCGACGACGGCGACCCTGAGGTTGTTGGCGTCAATCTGCCCTGGCCTGGAGCGTCTGGCGACCTGCACGAGCGAGATTTTCGGGGACCCGGAGTTGTGCATAGCGGACAAGTGTTTGGCTTTGAGAAAGCTGTGTATAAAAGGATGCCTGATTTCGAATCGGGAGATGGAAGCTTCTGTGAGCGGATGCCCGAGCCTGGTGAAGATGAAAGTGAAGAAGTGCAGGGCGGGGGGGGGGGGGGGGGGGGGTACACCGGCAAGTGTGTGGTAATAATATTGGACCGAGTGACTGGTAATAATATTGGACGAGCCTTCAACAGTCTCAAATGACGTCCAGGTGAGAGAGTAATAGCTGTTTTAGGATTCTCGTTGGTCAGTTTGCTTGGTGGGCCCCTTGATTCAAGAATAATTCGTTGAGAATTTCAGTTCTCACGATCTTTTTAGCGCCTTTGGGAGAGGATTAATTTAGTGTAGTATTGGACATTGGGTCCGCACAAGGAGAAATTTAGGATTTGATTGCTCTTCATTGCATTTGGTGCAAGAATTGTCTTGATTTTGTTGCTGTCATTGTAGCCCATTCTAGAAAGTCATGAACTATGTGATTAGGTTGTTTATTTTGCATGAAGTTTGATGGTAAGACATAAGAGATATTATTCATCGTTATTTCCATTGCTTATAAACTATTGTGCGATTCAATTGAGGCAGATTTGATTGTAGTTGATGTAAAAAACGGCACATTGAACACCTAGATTGGGACACATTGAGAATCATAAGATATCCTTTCTATGTTTCCATATAAGAGTTATTTTTGTACTCATATCAACTCTTGATGAAGATCATTTTTTTTTTTTAAATTCTTCTTTTGCTTGACATGTGAGAGATTGTTAATGACTTTTCCATCACTCTTTTTTTGCTTGAGATGTGAAAGATTGTGAATGATTTCTCTACTATTCTTCTTTTTTCTAAATCAAATGATGAATGCATCTTGAAGTTCTTCTCAAGTAGTAAAGGATCCCATAGGATATTAGACATACCACTTAAGTGCTTGCTTTTTGAATATGATTGGAAAAAATGCTAACTTAATTTTATCTACTATTCTTTTGTAAGCTTGATAAAATTATTAAATTTCTTTATATAAATATCTAAATCATCATTGCTTTTAAATTTAAATAATTTAGTTTTTGTAAATATGATAATAAGTATTATATTACTTAATGTCTTTTATTATAATGACATGGATAAACTAGAAGATTGTATTAAAAATTATTTTTATTTCGTACTTATAATTGAATATGTTTTAACTAGAATAAATTCTTACATGAACTATTTTATGATTCAAAAACTTTTTCTTTCTTCTTTATTGGTATTATCAAGACTTGTCAAATTTTTATTGTCTTCATTATAAAAATTTATATATTCTATAAGATTCTTCAACTAAGATCTTGTTCATGAATCTTCTCTTTTGTTTATGTTATATATATATATATATATATATATAATATTTTTTAATAGCTTATTTCCTTGGAGTCCTAGGGCTTCTAAAAAATTCAATTTCTTGATTCATTATTGATATAGTGTCTAACTTCAATAGCCATTAATTTTGTTTTGGATGTTGATTCATTGTTTTTTTTTAAACTTTTGTTGAATGCTTGTCTTATATAATTTTTATACTTACTAAGTCTAAATGGATTTAAAAGCTCTTATATTGGTAAGATTTTCTGCTTTCTAAACTTGATCTTCATACAATGTTCATTAATGTAGATCTTTCTTCAATATTCATCTTGATTTTTTTCTTCTTTTGACTAAAGTCGGATGCTATTTCCTTTTCTTTTTTGTCTCTTTATTCAATTCTCTTAGCTTGATATGCAACATAAAATTGCTCCTTACCATCTCTATTTATGATTTTTAATATTATTGGTAAAGTTAGTAATTTCTATTTATAAACATCATCCATCTTCACTAAATAAATTTATTAAAGTTATAAGTCTATAGACTTAATCATTAAAGATAGCAACGTAATCTTAGAATGGTTGCCAAATATACACTTAGATTTTGACACCTTGAGAATCATAAGATACTTCTTCTACATTTTCACATACGAGCTACTTTTGTACTCACATCAATCTTTAATAAAGATCATTCTTTGTCTTCCAAAAATTATTGCCTTGATATAAATTCTAGAAGTCAATGTTAAAGTCAAGATTAGTTATTTAAACTCTAAACCTATCTTCAACATCTTTGTTCTTCAATTTCTACTTTATGTTTTTTCATATCTTTATTAATGTTAAAGTAATCCATTGATGTTATTTACTTTAAAGTAGAATATAACTTTCACTTAATGAACCATGTCTTGTCCTTATTAGTCTTGTCTTTTAAGCTTCTTTCTTCTTTGTGTTGAGAATCTCAAATATTTCTTTATGAATCTTCTTTGTAATACTTATAACTTGTTAATAGATCAAAAGTGTATAATAAAATAACATAATAGAATATCAATTATAATCTCTTTATTATGGTTTTTCTTATAATATTTATAACATAATTTTATAATTATTTATAGATTTTATATAGTAGATTTTTTTTAATAATACTTAAATATAATAAAACTAATTTATTTCTAATTATTTTAACTACTAAAGGTGGTTTTAATCACCTTATATTTTTAACACATGTGTTGCTAACTATTTTATACTTTTACACTAACGTCTCTTTTCCTAATCATATTTACATTAACTTTTTTATAATTTCTTTTTACACCAAGTCTTCTTTCATTATTTTCTTTTAACATGGAGATTTTTTTTAATATTAATTTATGTCTAAAATTTCTCTAAATTAAATAATAATTAAATTCTAAGATTAATACATACCATTTGGATTGTTAGATTTTATTATAAATTCTAAGAATAATACACACATTTCTAATTCAATGATGCCTCTTCCAAAGACAAGATTACAATCAATCATGTTGCATGTCATGTATTTTGATGGTTTGCCTCTTAAGGCTCTTAGCATTCCACATTCAATAGTGGATATGGTAATTTGAAGCTTATAAGTTTAGGTAATATAGGACTCATTGTTAATACAAAAAAGAAGATTATATTTATAGAATATTTATTTTTAGTTGATTTTTTAATAATAGAAATATAATAATAGAAGAGTCATTACTTAAGACAACAATATATAGTTGTCAAACAATTACAATGGAGTATCAAATTGCCAAGATTGTAAATAGTTGTTCTTTACTCAGGTTTTTAGATTGTAGAGAATTTTAAAAAAAATTTGGAATTTCACAATTGATACCACATGTTATCTAGCTACTACCACAATATGCATATATGTGTGTATGTATGTTTTATTTTGGAAAAAATATCATATATGTTCTTCAAAAATATCAAAATATTAAAAATATTCTTATATTTTTTTATTATAGCATATATATATATTCCTAAAATTATTCATAATAGCATATATATCCTCTACTTTTATAAGATATTAGAAATCTAATAATTCTATTAATATTTTTATCTTCATTTAGGCCCAAATAATGGCTTTTGTGATTTAGTGTATTAAAAAAAAAAAAAAAATCTTACTTAATATGCATTCTTGGACAAATTATCAAATATATATATATATATATATATATATATATCTTTACCATAGCTGTACAACAAAGCATAGCACGTAGCACTTTCCTTCACAACATCTTAGATGTTATGCATCTTATATTTACTTATGAAAAAATGATGGCAAAGAACTGCCTAGGATATAGAGAAAAAAAGTGGCCTTTTCTAATTCACTTTGTCACATGAAAAACTTGCAAATTAAAAGCTAATGTAGAGAGTGATGAATATTTTAAGCAGATTAAGCATGCCTTCAATTTTATAGATAACCAAGTGCTCAAGAAACATGATTATTTTCATTTGTCTCATAGTTTATTTAAGACATAAAAAATTTGTGGAGACTCTATTGATCCATTGATTCAAATGAATATCTCAAAAAAAGAGTTTAACCATACCATAGCCAAATTGAAGGTACTGCAATAATTTACACAAGGAAAAAGTTTTGACTCTTCAATCATGTAAGAAGCAACTTTCTTCTTTACAGTAGATATAAAATCTTGTTAATATTTTGAAATGTTTGTATAATTTTTTTTTTTTAGGATTTTATAATTCCAAACCAAGATTCTAAAAGTGAAATAAATTAGGTTATGCATCTTCTTCAAAAGCCTGGGTTGCTTATTTTTTTTCAATGATTCAAGCCTATACTTCAAATCTCCATACGATTGTTAGAAGGATTTTTATTTTAGTTTACTACACTTTTGACAAATCAATTCCAAATAAAAAAATTATATAGCAAATTGTATTTATCATGATGTTGGAAATAATATGGTGTATGCAATGATGTACTATTTCCTAAGTATGTACAATGGCCATTAATAGAGCATCTATAACATATGATACAAGAATTTGAAGCTATGTCTAAGATATGAAATGTAATTGGATTCTTCTATACAATGCATATTCTTACTATAGTTCCTAAGATCAATATAACTCCTTATTTCAATAAGTGACATGTTGAACACAATTAAAAAATGTTGCATTCCATCCCTTTGCAAGGAATTGTAGATGCACGCAGTTCATTTACAGATGTGTACATCAGATAGCCAAGGTCCATGTTTGACAAATATGTCTTTGAAAAATTGAATTTCTGTAGGCATGGAATGAATGAAGACTAGCATAGAATGTGGGTACTTGGACGGCTTGGATATCCATTGCTACATTGATTTTTGTTATAATATATTGAACACAACCTAACTTGGATCCAACACGCTTTCAATAAAAAAAAATAAATAGTCAAAGTACTACAGAATGCTCAAAATGCTTTCAATCGTTTGAAAGGAGATTGGAATTTTTTTCAATGGAGAACCGAGGTGAAGTTGTAAAAGTTGCATATTATCTTGGAAGCATGTTGTATGTTGCATAATATGTACGAGATGCATAACAGTAGGTTTAATTCCAAGGTTCACTTTGAGGTTGTTGATGATGAGATGTTGCTAGAAAATATCAACTTTCCAATCACAATCCTACAAGCTCATGACTCAATTGATCATATCTTACTTCACAATGTTCATGCAAGTTTTTTCTTTTTTCTTTTTTCTTCTTCATTTGACATACTAAATCTCAAAAGCTACTATTTGGGCCCAAAATCATTAATGGAATTGTTAGATTTCTAATACCTTATCAAGGTGAAGGATATATATGCTATTATCAAAAATTCTAAGGATATTTATACTATTATCCAAAATACATGGATATTCTTGGTATTTTGACATATTTAAAGGATATATATAATATTTTTTCTTTATTTTATTATTTCCTTTTAAGTTTAAGTTTTGTATGTCTTGATGTTATAAGAACTTAGTAGTGAAATTCACACTTGCTTACTTTTGATCATGAAAAGAAAGATGGACTAAAAAAGAAACAATTATGTCAACCTTATACTCTCTTGATACAAGTATGTTTGAAGATATGCTTCAATTCTCTATTAGTCTTATGCACCCCAAATCTCTATCTTTTATACATGCTTTGATTGCCTTCTTAAATTCATGAAATTGTCTTCTTAATTGATGATACATCTATATATAAACTAAAAATAGATTTAGTATAATAAATCCACTTCAATTCAATATAATTAGATATCAAATAGTAATATTTTATTTTTAAAATGCTTGGTGAGTGTTGCATACAATACATAAAACTAAAACATCTTAAGATTGTTTGGATAGATACCAAACAAAACAACTAATTTCATCTTTGCAAATTCATGTTGCATAAAACTATGAACTATGATACTAAACAAAATCCCATCTAATATTTTTACTATTATTTCTTTTCTTTCTTACCTATTTCTTTCATAAAGACGATCTATAGTAACCTAACTTAAAATACTAGAATAACAAGGATATCCATAATTTTTCGAATACTTCTTTTAGAGGAGAGCTATGCTTCGCACATACAGATGGGGAAAAAATGTACATTATTCATTATATTGAGTCCACCATGGCTCTACTAAAATTTATAACTCACAGAAGCCCCTTAACATATTGAACTAACTTGAAGTTGCGAGCTGTTAAACGATTTGCGGGAGCGCAAGTTGGAAGATGATGCTCTGTAAGCACAGATAGTTTTTGATTGATTCTCTCAAACTAGACCTCATATATACTACTCTCTATAGCACTTAAAAGTCCAAAATACAGTTGACTTCTATCATTATAACCCCTCCATCTGTGCCAGCCATTCCTGCGGATTTCATCACTCTTGTTCTCTAAATAACGTGTCCATCTCCACCAGCAACTGACCTTTCTAGCACGCATGGTGCTCCTCGGATGCAACTGTCAACAGACCTGCCATTAAATTATGTCATTGATTCAGAAACGAGCATCATGACTGGAGCAAACTTAAATTGTAATCCAAATTCCTATTAATCTATGAATTACAGTAAATGTGAGAAAATCAGTTCTTCAAGCCAAAGACAAGAACAATCCTCTGTAAAGATCTAATGGAAGAACGTGCACACATAACAATGAATCCCGTGGAGACACAATGCTACTAACCTTCAAAGAGTGTCGTCACTTTGCGAGCAAGGAAGATGCAGGTACAGGGCTACCTTCAAAACTCTATCGACAGGCCCAAATGCTCTCATTTGCCCACACAAGTTATAAATACATCACCAGATACAATTGAAGTGTTACGAAGCTTATTATCCTTTTTAGATTCGCTAAGAAGTAATGATTCAGATTCAGTGGAAACTTATTTCAGGTCAAAACATGATACAATAGAAACTGGCAATACATTCTTATCAGATCCATCTTCATTTATCTACGTGTATCCATCTTCTACCAGATCTTACTGTGCTGATAGATGCAGCGAGCACGATGACATTTGATATATTGACTTCCCATCTTTCAGATATTCTAAAATGACGTGAAAGTTCACTCAGCATCATCATCTAGTACACCTGAGGAGGCTGAGACTGGTCGTCCCCACTGCGGAATGCCACTTCCAAGGTTGGCTATGAATAATGGACCATGGTCAGGCCCAGAACCTTCGCCCTTCCGCAAACGATCTTCAACATCCTTAGCAGCTGCTGCCATCGCTTGTTGCAAACCTCCCTCAACTTTATTCACATTCATAGAAATGCCCATCATCGTTAGCTTTGGTTGAAATGGAATCTTCCCAGGGGGATCCTTCTGTGCTGTCTCCTGTAAGTACTCTGAATCTGAATCTTCCTCCAATATTTCAGCATTGCCCGAGTCTTTTCTTTTGAACACTAAATTTGCATTGGCCCCCCACTTCTTCTTAAACAGATTGAACAGCGAGTTTGGTGAGGACTGACTGTACTCCTTTGAGACGGATTCGCTGCTATCATTGCTAGCACTTCTTTCATCTCTTCCTGAAATACTCATGCCTTCGTCCCCCTGACCGCGTTGGGACTTCTCCTGAGTTCCCTCTTTCTTTGCAAAGGAATTTCTAGAGCTAGTAACACTCCCTTCTGACTCAGAAGAGTGGTCAAGTTCCGATGCAGAGATTAGACGCTCAAAAGAATCAACAATAACAGGAAATCTGGGCTGTAAGTGAATCATGCGGCGACTCCACTGATGACCCAATAAGACCCTGTCAGCGAGGTCCATGAATTGTGCTTCAAGGACCTTCAAACCAACAAACTCCATCCCTCCGCCTCCCTGTCCCAACTCTTCCATCAACTCTTGCACTTCAGGAGGATCCATCAGACCATCCAGCTCATCATCCATTGACTCTCCTCCAGCAAAAGCATCTCCATTGTTTTCCGCTATTTGACTATAGCGTTGAGCTCTACGAGCACTAATCAGCATCTCATAATAATGATCCACTGAGTGCCCAATAAGACTATCAAGCTGTTTCTTATTGAAGAAATAGGGCCTAAACCATCGCACACCTTGAGGAGTGCTCAAGGCTATTGTAAGATTCCTAGCTGTGAACACTGGAACACCTTTAAGCTTGTTTGCTGCCTTATCTCCACGTTCTCTACGCACCAACTCCTTAGCTACCTTAACTTGCCGTTGATCTGCTATAAACTTAAACATTCCCTCCTTGCTTTTGTAATACTTGTAAGCAGCATCAAGAGAGCAAGGACCCACCGCAGAACCGGTGATGTTCAAGCGCCTAACGTATTCTGCAGCATCATCTTTGTTGAAATAGAACCTAAACACAGGTCCTTTCATATCATCTGTGAAGAGCACGTTCATTGCTCTTTCGTAAGCCTTTTCCATTAACTTCATGTATGGAGGTACCTTGATTTTTTTCAATACGTCTGATGGTCTAACTGCAATTAACCCTTGGCGTGAAGCGTCACACATGGTATACACTTGACCAATGAAAGCTGGGCCTGTGCTTGAAACCTCGCCCTTCTCATTCACTGCGTTACCTTTGGAAAAATGATCTTGGGGTATAGACGAAACAGCCTTTTGACATACTTGAACTGAGGAAGTAGAGGAAGGAACCGGGAAAATGAGATTGTTGAGGGCAAGATATGGCACAGGTAACGGAGAAACCATCGGTTTGTGTTCTACCAACAAGCTTAAACAATTCAGCCCATCAGTCTTTAAAGTCTGAAAAGATTGAACTGTCCACGCAAGGTTTGAGGTGACTGTTTGAACCCAGCTAGAAAACAAGGCAGGGTTTGGGAGCTTGAAGGAGACAATTTTAGGGCCCGTAACAAGGCAGGGCTTCTCATCCTTGCTACAACCCGGCACATTACAGGTATCTCTGTTCCTACCCATTGCAATTCTGCTAAAATCAAATCACCAAGTCAAGTGAAATTTTTTCACTGGTGTCAGTAATTGATAGTACCCGATTGAGCCTGCTATTATTCTAATCGCAGCAGAAAATTCGAGCCTATTGTCAGCGCAAAAATGTCAAAGTTGCGAATCGCGTCTGGTTCTTCATAACTCTTCCGTCCAGTGACCTCCATGTAGAACCCCCTCCTTACATAGGTGGTGATGAAACGGCGAAATCAAGGAGCATCATTATTCCTATTGAAACGCTGAACAATGTCAATCAAGGTCGTCTACACGAGGATTACAGCTGCCATAGCAAATACAATTGATCAGTCCACACGTAATCCAATTAACTTCAACAATCTGTTTACATTTGAAAGACTTTACTGTGTCCAGTGCACCCTCCTGTTGCCTAAGATAGCAAAGACGATGCGGACATCCTTACACAACGTTACGCAATGAAATAGACGTTATCTAGCCAATAAATTACTCGTATCAATACCTATCTCTCACAGGCAGGATTGAAACAACAACTACTACACTAATAAAAATAAAAATAAAAATAACGCTGTGCCTTCTACAAACACAACGAATTCATGTCTTCCCATCCTTGATGATGATAAAGGTATGAAGCGTTGAAGACTAGTACATGCAAGACCGGGAGGTAACACGAGATTTTCTCGTGATCCATACTAAGATTGCAACATTCATCTTCATTAAGCCATTGTACATAAACCCTAAATGAAAAATCATGCACTTGTAGAACGCAAATTAGGTTTTCCTACATAAAATCCACGCTCAACCCAATTCCGTGTATGCAGCGCCTCCGGACGTCCCGGAACATCGAATGCAGAATAACCCTAATCCAGGAAATCCTTCAAATCAAGGATCGCAACCTGAACCTCTAGCACTGCTAGCAATAAACTGTAATATGTAGTCGGATGTACGACCTCATTCGCCAAGTCCTCCAGCAACTAAACTATGATTACAGAAAATAGCTCAAAGACTTGGGAAAAAGGCGAGAAGGGGTCCAATTCCAACCCAACCACTTCACTATTCCAGCTCTGAACATTGAAACCCTGAGAAATAAGCCTCGGTGAGACCCGTTAGCAAAAAGAGCTCCGAAACAAGCCTAACATTACATATTCATCGTTACCGACCAAGACCCAGGCCTCAAAATTGCCAAGGATAAGGAGTAATCACCACAGAAAACTCTGTTCCAGCTAAACACGCACTTCGAGAGTGTTTCGGTGCTCGCAAAAGCTCCTCAAACCTCTGCTTGTGTCAAAACATAGGCACCCACCCTAGACCAAGGCGAATTTCCTTGAAACTACCACACTGCTTGAGCACAATTGGAAGACAAATATCTGTGATGCGGGTTCCATTTCCATGGAGCGAGCATCAGGAAGCTGTGAATGCTGGTTTGCTGCCACATAACGAATTAGACGGCGACGCGGCAGATCGAAGCAACCGCGGCAAGACGAGCGAATGCAGACCATGCAAAGAGTTACGAGATATTGAATAACGAATGAAGGGTGACGCTACGCAGTATTTCATCCTATTTATTTCATCCAACGTCATCCACTCTTTTTTACAGTGCAGGAAAGAGTATTTCATTTCAATTAAGCGAAATAGTTACTTACCTCCCCTATAATTACTTTATTTTATGTTATTTTATGTTATTTTATTATTATTATTATTATTATTATTTTATATTTGATTTCATGTGAAAATAATCAATAATGTGGGATTCTAATGCACCTAATGGTGTAGATGTACTTCAGCGAGTGTTCTAAGGGCATAAATAAAACTTATATTTATACAAAATGTTCTTTGGTTGTATAATCAGGAAATCTATCCACCTAGTGTTGTTCAATATTATGTATTGAGAATTAACACGTAGAATACATCCAAATTATACAAGTTTTTTGAAAGATTAAAAATCTACAACCAAAAAATGATGTATAATTTGTATCCAAAAAAAGTGGTAGTGTACCACTCTACATAATATTGAAGAATTTTGAAATAACTTAGTTTTTTTTACAAAAATTAGTCTTTGATACATTTTTAATTAATGGGTTTTTTGAACTGGTGACACAAACTATTATTATTCTTTGATTCATAATAATAAACAGTAATAAAATATCTTGTATAAAAAAATAATAAAAAATAAAACACATATAGAAATTCACACCAAGCAACAATAATAACAAATTGCATAGTAGAATTTGATAAGGCATGTAAGTATATCTTGATTTCCTTGTGTTTTATTTGAATTTCTTAAGTATCTTGCTTATAAAGAAATTCAAGCTTTTATCTCTTAATGGTTGATTGTGACTCTGTTGTCCACATATTTATTCAAATATATACTAATTATAATTGTTATTTTTTAATGTATAAATTTACTACTATTTTAAGATGGTATGATTCTTTTAAAATTCTTTCACACATTGATAGATTAGTGTAGATATATAAGTCATTGAATTAAAAACTCGATGGTTTTGCAAAACTTTGTGGATGGATATTACTATATAGACTATCATCTGTGAAATCTACTCTGAATAGCCACTAGAAAACAAAATCCTTCTTCAAACATCTATCTTCAAGTCTAAAAATTTTATATATATAAATGTATATTGTCTTGCATACATTGCATACATAGCAAGGATGAATTTTAACATATGCAAGGCCTCGAAATTAAGTACTTATGTCAATGGAATTATTGCCTATGGTAATTTGTCTTACATGTGTACATTGCTTTGAGATAATGTATTTTACTTGTGCTATCCTTAAGTTATCATCATTATTCTTGTCATTTGTAGACACTTGTTGTTGCACACAGATTACCAACTTAAGTAGGCACACCAAAGAACTTGGTACCTGCTTAAAAGCTCAATTTCAATGAACATATGATACAACTATTTAATGCTTATAAATTTCATCTTCGAGACAATTTCATCCTAGTCCAAACTCCACACCTTGCTATTTTTTCTTTACAAAATAGGACAATAAGTTAGATGCCTTTGAATTTGCATAATTCCATTGTTAACTTTAATGGTGTTAATAGGCTTATTAGATCAAAGTGAGCCCATAGTATTACATCTACACAAATAAATTAAAAAATAAAAAAAACTATATATATATATATAAATATATATATATATATATATATATATATATATATAAATATTTGTATATATATAATGATATCAATTACATAATATTTTTAAAGGATATATATATATATATATATATATTAACAAATTATGTTTGTGAAAAAGAATGTTGTATTAAAATAATTGGATTTTATGTTTTGGTTAACTTTAATTTTTGTAGTTATGTATTTCTGGTATTCATATTTATTGCTTCTAATCATTTTAAATACAAATGAGAGAGAAAGAAAAAAGAAGTTGTTTTCAGATTTTTAAGAAATTGATATGCATTCATGAAATGTCATTTGCACTCTCATTTATTTATTGATTTATTTTTTGGTAAAATTGCCACATTATAGTGCCATAAACATCATAAATATGCATGATTGTTTCAAAAATGAATAAATTGGTAGAGTTCAAACATTTCAACACTGTATTCACAATCGTTGATTTTTCAACTTACACTTGTAACTCTGTAAATTTGGTAGGCAAAATGAAATATCATTTTTGAATTAAAGGTATTCGACATACACACTACCACCAAATTGCATTAATCCAACTTCCTAAATTACAAAAACTTAATCATAATGCCAAAACTGAACATCTCTTTCAATACTGACTCAATAATTTACTAAATCGAATAAAATCAGCCCATGTGTGAGTGCATGCGTGTGTGTAAAATACATACGCAAATCCTACTCCCTTTTCACTGTGAAGTATTATCAAACAAGAATGTATGCTTAGTACACAAAATCTCTTTCGTTTACACATTTGGTTTCTTGTTGCATGTTTCAACATATAAGAATTTGTTCATAATTCTAATCTAAGTCTGACATGAATCAGTACTTCTCAATTCGAATAAGCTAATATCGGTGAGAACCAATTGAGTATCTCGTGTCCCTCACTCACTTACCACAATTGATAGATGCATCCTTAAGTACTTTCAAGCCAATCACTTGACCAGTGGAGCCGTTATCTCAGCTTCTTCAATAGAATGTATTAACTAAAGATTGGTCACAGAATCCGATAGCCTCGCAGCTCAACTTTGCCATCCGACGGATTTTTTTTTCTCGGCCAACATACCGGATAGAATTACTGATTAGTGGGGCCCGTGTTTAATTACTGAAGAGCCATTCAGTCACTGAACGTTGCTTCGAGTTTTACTTAAAACTTCTTCGTACCCGTGATCGAAAGCGTTACCTTCTGCGCTGTCGCGTGCAGCATTTTACAACATATTCAAGTGGGAAGGGGCTCTCACCTCTCGGCACCCACTTCTCATCATCTGCATGTCAGTGAGAAGTGGGTGCCGAGAGGTGAGAGCCTCGATTCAGTGTGCGGCACTTCGACATAGTCCTGTCTAGCAGATAACACTATGAATCTAAGACATACAATGCTACATAGACATCGCTAATCAGCATCAATACACTCCCTGACCACGGACCGAGAAGCTTTAAAGTCCAGAAGCAAAGATTGCTCCGCGAAGATTACCGCCTTCCAACAGCTGAAGAGCGGTTACAACGGCAATGATGGTGACAGAGAATCATGACGAAAACCTCTGCGCATATCATTTTCTATAATGCCGAAGCTTAAGAAAACAGTGCTATCAATATGGGACACACTGCCGACAGTATGGTCATATGCATGCTCCTAGTGGCGTCCGCTGGTGGCGAACCGGATATCATATGATACCAGGTTAAAACACCCGGGTCAGGACAGGGTATCAGTGAAGACTTCACCGTGGAAGCTCGTGTTGTTTAGCTCCTTCAATTCTTCTCCTTGTTCGAGGTTTCTTCAGATCGATTGTTCGATTGATCGTTGCGATCTCCATGTCCACTTGGAGTCGCTAAACTGTGCGTCGTCTCATTGATTGATTACTCGCCGATTGATGTGAGCGACGTTTTTCAACGAGCTCTTAAGGATTCCGGTTTTGCCTTATTCTTTATTTTTGGATGCAAGGATGGCGGAGGATATGGAAGAGCTGCGGACGCCTCCCGTGCCTCTGGTGGCGCTGGTAGGGTGCCCGGAGTATCATGGAGCCATATCGTTGTATCTGCACCGGGAGCAGCCGCCTCTCAACACTCTGGCGCTGCCGGACTTTGCCAAGCTTCCCATTATCGGAGGAAAGGAGAGGAAACCCGTGGATGCGCGGATGCCACCCCCGCTAGGCATTCTAAAGGCCGACTGGTTGACGAAGCATCGTACTCGCATGCCGGCTGTGCTCGCCGTTCTCCTTGATCGAGACCAGGTTTATGGTGACCCTACGCAGTGGCTCGAAGTCTGCACCAATCTCGACAACATTAAGTAAATCTTGCTTTGAGTAGATTCTCGGATTATCTTCTTAGACTCTGTTTAGATTCCGTTCTGCCTATCCCTCTTTAGAATCGTTTCTGAAATTAATTGTGCTCAGCAAATGGTTTCTAGCTTTCGCTAATGCAATGTCTTCAGAATTTTAGGTTTTCACGTGAAAAATGTTGTGAATTTGGTCTGGGTGTTTTTCAGGGCAGTAATTCGAGGGAGGAACATAAAGCTAGTGGTGGCAATTGTGCAACCTACTAGTCAAGGTCATTTTCTTTCTTTGCCCTGTTGGTATTCTGCACGCGTAGCAACAGGGCAATGACCTAGATTTTTGAGAGTCAGTCTCAATGGATAGCACATTCAGAAAATGTGGTTAGATATGTTGTCATTCAAACGTGAGCATCGGACTCCACTTTTTTTCAAAAATCTCATCTGGATAGCACATATTCACCCATTAATCCGTTTGGAGAAGAGTTGGAATATTTATGGATGAAGGATGGTTTCTGAGTTTTCCTTCTTCAACAGGCCTCCATGATTTGTAATTGACTTCCGGTGGATGGGATGGAATGCCATTCGAAACACATATTCGCTCAGTGTCGCAGCTGGCATTGACTCGAGTAATTGGCTCTCCTTTTACTGACGCCCTGACTAGCTCATTCACTGGGATGCAGGAGAAGTCAACGAGGAGCGCTTATCAGCTCTTCGAAAGCGTGCGGAGGTGGATGCCAAGTGCTGTATCTTATTCATTACCCATGAGCCTAGTGAGCTCAGACGATCGTTAGCAAGGTGGCTTCCCCAACCCTCTAGCTGTTTTTGCACAGCCTGCTTTCAAGAATGACAAGCCTTCATCCGGTTTGTGTTGCAAAGATTTCTTAGCAGGAATAATCTGGGTGGCTCTGCAGGTTGGGAAGTATCATGGGGGAGCTTGCCACCACTTTCTATAGGGAGGAAGGTCGGAGGGTCAAATTAAGAGTTGAGAAAAAATCATACAGCTCTTTAGAGCTTAGTGTGCGGTATAATTTCAAGGCAAGCTTTGCTGAACCCGTATGTTTTCTTTCAATGAGGTTTGCTACTTCACACAAGACGAGTTGCTATTATTTCCTTCGCTCGTCATTTCAACAATTTGTTTAACGGTTTAGACTTGTTTTTATTTTGTCCGTCAACTTCTCTAACGTACTATTGATCTCATTGTACAGATTGCAGTTTATGCTGAATTTCGTAGAGACTGGGTTGCGGCCCTCAAGTTCTATGAAACTGCGTATTCCCTGCTTCAGGAGGTTTTTGGCCTCCCTTGTTCTTAGTGATTTTTGAGCTTGCTTGGTGTATTATCGCATTAAGTTATAGTATTGGATATCTGTACTCCAAAGCTTCATTTGGTAATGTCCTAGTTTGTAAAGCTTACAGATAGTGCAGTGGTAGGTGCAATTAGCTCAGAATCCAAGTCTTGGTTCGCAGCATTATTTGTTTGTACATCTTCTTCTTCTTCTTCTTTGATGTTTGTACTGATTCCTAGTCTTCGGGTTCGTTGTATAGGTTATAACCAGTACATCCATGGAACTACAACCTGTTCAGCGGGTTGTAGAGATGAAAGCTGTCGCTGAACAATTACATTTCAAAATCTCAAATCTGCTTCTTCATGGTGGAAAAGAGACAGAGGCAGTTAGGTGGTTCCGAGAGCATGCATCTTGGTATAAGCAGATGGTGGGGCCTTTCGAAGGGTACTTTTTACATTGGGCTTGGATTAGCAAGCAATTTCAGGTTTTTGGTGAGTTGCTTCAGAATAGGCTTGCAACAGTGGCACCACCCGCACAAAATACTGCTATGCGAGGTCAACCTGTTGTTTCTGAGCGGGAATTGCAACCCGCCTACTACTACCACGTGCGTTTCCCCCTTATTCTTCAAATCTGTGCCTCGTGTTGATCGTTACGACTAGGAGTTTGTGATGACCTCAAATTGTTGTTCTAGAAGTGGAGATTCTGCATAAGTGAACTCTGTTTGAGACATTTAACGGTGCATTCGTTTTGCAGGTTTCAGCTATTTACATGGTTAAGAGAAGACGAGCGTTTCAAGCAGCCTTAGTGGCTTTTGAGGCATTTGAAGAAAGCAACGCACCTGACGTTCTGGTTGGACCTCCTGAAGAAGTTGGCCCCCCTGTTTATGTAGGACAGGCCCCGCGATTACTAAAGAGAGGAAATGACAATCATGCCCAGAGGTACAGAACTATATCTATCTAACTCTGGAGCATCCAACTTCAACTAATTTAGGGTTATTAATGTACACTTCCATTGTCTTTGCTTTTTAAAATAGGGTTCATGTTTGTGAATCAAGTACATATTTAATGGAGCAGTCGTATCTTGCATACAGTGATAAATGGTTTGATTGTTTTATGAGTTTGTGACATTATTTTGTTGTATTTAGTTATTTGATTTCGGAACTATTGTTTCATAGGCATTGATTAGTTTTGGCGTGGATTGAGTTGCAGCCCAACAGAGACCGAATACATGCGACACTTAATTCTACTCGAGAAAAATTTCCAGCACCCATTGATTGCCATAGCTCTGTTAAAAAAAGCTCACGAACTTTATCAATTGGTGGAGGCAACGCGGACAGCTTACCGTCTTTTGAATGATATGGGTTGCGAATATTTTGCTGCCAAAGATTACGTCAATGCTATGCGTATTCTCAACTCCGTTATTGGAATTTATCGTCAGGAGGAGTGGGTAGTTTTATTGGGTTCCACACTCACGTATCTACGGGAGTGTGCTCGCTGCTTGGGACTTGCGAAAGAATTTGCTGAGTATAGCTTTGAGCTTCTGTCCTTGCCACTATCAGCTACCGTATCTCCTGGCTATGTCTCTGGCTCAGAAGTTGAACCTTTCGGGGAGCTGGAAAAAACTCAGCTTTGTCAGGAACTTGTTGAGTTCTTGCGCGGAGTTCGTGATATCACTTCCCAGGAAGGAAAACCAGGCATGAAACTGTCATCTGCTCAGCCTATAAATCTTGAGATCAACGTTCAAAGTCCACTACGTATGGTTTTATCAGTTTGTGTTGCGTTTCATAACCAATCAGTTAGAGTAGGTAAAGTTACGAGGCTTACCCTTTCGATCCTCACCCATCTTCCACTACCTGTGGTCTTTGACGAGGTTGAGATTTTATTCGACCAGTCCTCGTGCAATTTCTCAACCCAAAAGAACAATTTTGTTGAAGTTGATCAAGAGGACCTGGGGCCTTGTTCAATGTTGGGGTTAGAGTTAGAGCCACTGAAGTGGAAGAGAATCTCTATTGACGTTGCACCAGGTATGGCTTTCATGCACTTACTGAACAAATATATATAGTTTATACTCTGACAAGGTTTGAGGAAAGTCTGTCTAAGTCAGAGTATTGATTTTTATAAGAAGAGCAGTTCTCTTGATGTTAATTCACTGTTGTTGGGTGTGATTTTAGAGGAAACTGGGAAACTAGAATGCTTGGAGCTTGTGGCCCGTTGGGGTCCGCACACAACCATCCGCTGCCAAGTGGAAAGTATGGGTACGCGCGAGGAGATTCCATTTTGGAAGTCTGAACCTGGAATTGATGTACCACCATCAGGTGATCCTGCGCTGGCAAGTTTGGGACAGAAATTGATTCAGGTCAGTTTTTAGCCTTTACTCGTCTTTCTTGATGTAGTGTCATCAGTAGTTCTCTCGATTATTATTATTATTATTATTATTATTATTTCATTTTATTAGATCGAGATAATGACCTCCTGATTCCCTCTATGACACCGGTAATGCAGGTTGAGGAACCTGAGGCTCTTGTAGATATCTCCGTTGAGGCATCCAGTCCTGGACTTGTTGGGGAAGCTTTCCCTGTTTGCTTTACTATTTCATCAGCAGGGCACTCAATACAATCTGGAGATTTAGAAGTCTATTTTGCACCATCTGTGAATTCAGAAGCCACTTTAGCGTCAATGTCTCCTCCCAGGGGACCAGACCTCGCTCCAGCAGAGCTATTGGTGAGAAAAACTGGGGAGAATGCAGAGAGTATTGGGGATAACTATGAGATATTCGCTGGCTTGGTGGAGGTCCCGGAAATAAGCATAGGTGATAGTTGGTCCACAATCATATATGTGCGATGGTTTGAGCCGAAGGCAGTTACCTTGATGACTACATTTGTTTACCGTGCATCGGAGGCTGGGATGCCCAAATATCAGTACCGTTTGCACAAGAGTAAAGAGTTAGATTGTGTGGAGGCTCTGGCTATTGAGCATCACTACGTGGCCCCCTTCAGAAGAGATTCACTCTTGCTCGGGAACTTGGATGCCAATACCATAGGAGGTCAGGTGCCTGCTGCTACGCTTGCTTTGAAGGAGTCCAGCATCTTAGTTGTTACATTGAAGAATCAATCTTCCATTTCACTTCGGCTCCTAAAAATAGAGGCCACAGAGGAAGATAGAAGTAGATGCTTATTGCAGAAGTCTGGCTCTGGCCCCTTGGCTAATGATCCTGACGGTGAAGCAGGAGGTATTATAGTGGCACCGCAGGAGATATTTACACAACTTTTGTGGGTTCACCCGTTAGTACTGTCTAAATCATTGTTGGTGGGAACAATCTCGGTTCTGTGGCAAAGAACAATGTCGAGTGACGTTATGCCGAACATCTCTGAAGTGCCAATACAGCATCACAAGGATGCAGTTGATTTTGTCAGCAACCGAGTGCCACTTGCGAAGATTATGGTGGAGTCTCCACCTCTAGTCATTACTTTGGACTGTCCGCCCCATGCTGTTCTTGGAAAGCCTTTCACCATGACAACAAAAGTACAAAATTTGACATCTACCCTTCTGGAGGTTGCATTTTCTGTAGTTGATACAGCAAGCTTCATCTTCTCAGGTGCGCACAGCGATACAGTTTCAATTCTTCCAAGAGGGACTCATTTTCTCTCTTATAAGCTTGTGCCTTTATTTTCAGGTATTCAGCAATTACCCCGGGTAAAGATAAATTCTGCCTGGTATAATGCTGCTTTTCAGCCTTCACCTGTCAGCACCCAGATATTTGTCTTCCCTTCAACTAGATTTGAACCAAACACTCATTCTTCTGTTGATGAAGCGTTTGGTTCTTTGGTAATAAGTTAGGTGCTGATGTCTATATTTGGTTACTCCAGTACACGGTAGGCTTACATATCTAAAAATCTGCTCATTGCTGATTCACATTATCGTACGGAACATCAGCTTGTTCTGTTTTGCAAAGATCTGATCCCACAAAGGTCATATATTCATGTTACAGCTTTTTAACTTGGAGTCTCAATCGTTTAAGGGTACGGAGTCGTGGGCATGGTTTCTTTGCCTCTTGTTTGAGTAATGTACGAAGTTATGTTTTGCAACATTTGTTTGTGACGCTAGAATAATACTGCCTCTTAAACCTTAAAATCTTAACTTAATCCCCCGTATCGTGTTCGAATTGTTTTTCAGCATTTCGAATTAAATTAATCTAGGGGTTAGACTGATTCTCCCAAAACAGGGTTGTAGGTGTAGTTCACTTAATGTCACGTGTCTCATTACGTAACGGAAACATCAGCAGCTAGAAGCTGTTCAACAGTGCCAGGTATTTAGCAGAACTCCAGTCCAGCATTCTGTGCAAACACAGGAACTTCGTGGCAAATACCGCAGGTTGCCAGGCAAGTGAGAAACTCTCAGGGAAGTTTGACCTGCGATAGAAAAAAATGTCAGTGCGCAAGTCAGGGCTCCATTCCAGACCAACTGGGACAAATAGTCTGCTAATAAGTTTGGCTCCTAAACCTCGCAGGGAGTGTGATATAAGGTCAGTGCCATAAGATTTTATCTTATTTTATTTTCTACATTCTGACGACTCTCTTTAGCTATAATCCAACCTAGAAGGTTGCTAGAGCTGGTTCCTTACGCTGAAGGCTGAATTACGCTGAATTCCAATCAAGACAGATTTGAATTGATTGGCCATGGCAATGACTGCATATTCAAGACTACAGTGAGTGAGTGAGTGATTTTTATTTTTATTTTTACTTTTCTTTTGAAACAGAAGAGGAGAACCTTTTTGCTGATCAAGTATCATAATTTTATATTACAAACTTATTTGAATCTAAAAAAATTAGTTTATTTTTTCTAAATTAAGTCTTTTATTTTTATAACAATATTACAACTCATTTTGAGATTTGCTATATATCAATGTCAATGTTTCATTGAGCAAGCTTTGTCATGGCCTATTAATTTTGACTTGATTATTTTATCTATTTTTTGTTTTCATTTTGATTTTCTATTGACACCACTTATTTAAATTTTAAGTTATTTTGTTGTTTTTATATTGTCTAAGAACATGCATTAGCTATTGAAATCTATGATCTTTTCATATTATTGATGTAACTAAGGGCCTCACCAAATACTATTTATCAAAGGATAAGTGTCAATAATGGTACTTACCTTAAGTCTTGATTGCTTAGATAATAGAAAATAGTAGTTTTTATTTTTATTTTTATACTTGTATTATAAGGCAATTCCAAAATTTCTATGTAATTATTTTTAATATTCTTACAGTATAAAAGAAGCATAAATTATTGAATCATCTTTCAATTATTTATCTTCATATATTTAATACAATTTTTCTTTGCTAAACAAGCCATAGGTTAGAGATGATTCTTCTTTTTTTTCTACTCTTGTTTTACACAAATATCCAATTTATGTTGAAATCAAGATATAACACCTTATTCTATTTGGTGATTTATAAAAAAGTAAGAGATATTGGTTTTTTGAGATTTCTTTTGCTTTCATTGGCATTATATTTCTCTAAAACAAATCATCAATATAAAATTCAATGTATTTATATTATCATAGGAAATTTTGATATATAAGATGAAAGCCTTCCTATTGTATTATCTTATATTGAAATAAAAATAGTGTCAAAGATATGAATCATGAAAAATCAAAGGATCAATAAATTCTTGTGTCACTAGAAAAGAATAGATAATCACTCAAAGATGGTATATTATTAAACTAGAATGACTGCTATCAAAGATTAAAAAAACTAGAGACTCTTGAAATAGAAAAGGATAAGAAAGGTATTGACAAGAGTGAAGAAGGCTTTTCTCTTGCCTTGATATATACTATCTAATTAAGAGCTACGTAGTAATGTTCCATCAGATCTTCAATAAGTATTCAACTTACAAGACACATCACTAATTTGCAAAAGAAGTTTTTTTTATATATATACCACATGGCCAACTTGTATTACAAGTTGCAAATATGTTCAACATGTGGCCAATGTTTTGGCCAAGTTTCTAATCTACCAATCAACTACAAACATATATAAAATAAAATCTTTGTCTATAAAGCTTCTAAGAAGCTTTTCCATAAGTTATTATCAAATCTACTTATATTCACCTTATATATAATATTTTTTTATTTAGATAATTATATATGTCCATGATATTTTTCCACCTTCTATGAACAAATTCCATAAGAAGGAGTGATCACATCTTGAAGAAATCCAAGTTGCATCAAATTCAATTTGCTACATATTTTGATCTTTGTTTTTTTTAAGTATGGTTGATATGTCTTCTTAGCCATCAATAGTGTCTTATATTAAGGCGTGAAGACCACCTTGATATTAGATTATTCTTAATACTTTTATAACTTCTTTCAAATAAAACATTTGAAACACCAGTAGGGGTGGTTCATACCTCTAATAGTATTATCAAATATTTGGAGTTTTTTCTAGTTATAATATCAAACATGTTGTATTTCACTATCTATTTAAAAAAAAACATGTTATTCTTGAGGGTCTTCATCTCTATTATGTTATTATGAAGATTGTGACAATCTCAATGCATCATTTGATAATTCAATAAATAATAGCTTTTCATTTAAATTTGCTACTTTTTGATTCTTTATTTTGTTAGCACTACAAATTTACAAAAATCACAAACAAAGATAGAATATAAAATGCAATCTTTATTGAACCTTATTTCTTTTATAGCAAAAAATTGCTTCATTCTTTATTTTGGTTTTGATGGATGTCATCAATAAAAAGCATTAATATTTTTTTGTTGCATATATAAGATTTCTGACTTACTATTCAATATTGAATAAAAATACTAAACCAAGTCTTATATATGCAACAAAATCAAAAGATTTTTTATTCATTGTTGAATAGTAAGGATTATTTATTAAGACCAATATTTATATTGGTCTTCTATACATATGTACTACTTATAAAAACTATAAATGTTAATAGTTAGAAGAAGCATGAAAAAGAACCTCATGCCATTTTAGTTATTGGTATAAAAAATAGATTTTATAGTGGTTTTAAATTAATTTTTATTATTATCAAAAATCACAAAGGTAGAAAAATGTAGCCTTAGATGGAAATTAGCATTACAAAATATTTTAGATTTTTTTCAGAATTTATTTAGAATTTATTTAGATTTTTTTAGGAATTTTTAGAGTAATTTTTAAGATCTTAGTAAAAATGAGTTTTACCACTTTGAGAGCCTTTATGAAGAAATGGAGCAATATTTGAGGGCCACAGAAATTTCCTTCGCTAATTGGGTATTTTTGAATACTATGGTGAAGTCAAAATTACAAAAATGTTGGTCCTTCTAGTAGAAATTAGGAAGACCAATAGCTAGTATAGTCCTTGTAGGAAGGGGAGTGCATAAGTTCCATATGGATTGTAGCACCTTGAAGGTAGTTAGGAGGATAAGACTAAGGCCTCGTAGCCTCTCTAAAATACCCTTATACACTACATATGAGCCTTGGTGAGGCTCAAATCCTTGATCTATAAACAAGTTACCTTTGAGATAAAATATTTTCACTTTACTTTTTAATTATTTACTTCATATCTTTAAAACTTCATAACTTATAGAAATTCGGATTTACATGTTTCTTACGTCATTTGAAAGAAAATAAAATTAAATATCTAAAAATAAAATTTTTATTTTTTTAATTTTATTTTTATTGGAGAAAAACATAGTGAACAGTCTATGACTTAGTTTTGGGTGTTGTAATTGCTTCATGTCATTTATTTCAATTGCTTTGTAGTTTTTTTTTTCTTTTTTTCTTATTATTTACTTACTTCACTTCATACCACCAATTACAAGAAACTCTTAATTGAGGCCATCTTGTAACTTGGGTTGAAGAGTAAAAATTTACACTCACAAGTGGCATTTGTCTTCTTTTCAACATGTCTATTGTCTTCCATGGCTTAAGAAAAAACATATGAAATATGAGATGGATCTTTATAGAATTTTATAGATATATTTAAAAAAAATATATAATTAATTTTTTTACAATAAGAAATGATTTAAGCCTACAATAATCCAATTTGTCACAGAAGCGACTAGTCTTAATATTACAACAAAGTAATCATATCTTATTATCGATATAAAATTAATGTTTTTTGTTGCGATATACATTTGGATTCATCTTTTGTTGTTCTTGAGCTTTTTTTAATTATGCCTTCATTATTATATGTAGCTTTGATAAATAATTTGTCAAATTTTTCATAACAAAATTATCAATTTTTAAAGAATTAAAAATATTAAATTATAAATGATAATAATAATTAATATGAAAGGATCTTTTTTGAGTAGAAGAATATATTGTGTTATCATATGTAAATTCTACTAACGACAAAAGAATTATCTAATTATTTTAATGGTAATTGATGATACATCTTAAATACTAATTCAAAATTTAATTTAAACATTTAGTTTTTTTATTAGTTCAAGAATGAAAAGCCAAAATTAATTTTGTATCTACTTTCAATATCTTGAAAAGGATTATTTAAAATCTTGATACAAATTGAGTTCTTTTATTCAAAATAAAATTTCTTCAAAATTAATTATAATAATAAATATTATCAAAAAAATTTAATTGTTTCTTTACTTATGATAGATTTTCTTCTTTTATAATACATATAATTTATATAATATAAAATATTCTATTTTATATTATATATATTTTATATCATATATATATATATATATAATTCTATTTTGGTGAAAATAAATAAAAAAATATAATAAAATAAAAATAAAGAAGTATGTATATTAAAAAGAAATTGGAATAGCTATTGCCAAAAGACAAAGAAATTAGAGACTCTTGAATCTACACTAGAAGTAAGAAAAGAGTTGATAAGAGTGAAGAGGGCTTCATTCTTGCCTCTTTATATACTATCTAACTAAGAGCTACGTGGCAATGTTCTATAGGACCTCTAATATGTGTTGACTTTATAAGATACATGCCTTAGCTTACATGGCAAGTTTTCTATGTGAGCAC